AAAAAAAAAAAAAAAAAAAAAAAGCCCTTCATCCTTTGAGATTTGTTCATCACATTAAACAGTGGCATCTGTAAGGCCACAAATGAATGGGTTGATTAATGAAAAAATTTGCACACCTTTTGTCTTCTAGATTTGTTCATAAATTTTAGGTCCTCTTCTAAGTCAATTTCAAATTTGTGCATGGAATTTCTTCTTTTTCTATTATTATTATTAAAGGGATATCCTCGCTACGGAAACAGCCTCCTTGTATAATTACAAGGGTAAGGTCTGCGTACAATTGACCCCCCCCCAGACCCCAACAAGTTGGGAATATACTGGGTATGTTGTTGTTGTATTATAGGGATTTCCATCTCGAACCAAATGAGAGTCCTCTCTCGTCAACCATCCTCCGATTCGAGTTTTCCAGTTGAGGTGAGTTCCAGGCTTTATGCACAATTTTTCGAATTCCCTCTCTTTTTAATCACCTCTTGTCAAAGGAAAATCTTCCTTTTCTTTTCTTCTCACCGGCATCATCCTCCACCAGAAACATACCATGATCATAGGCACTTTTGAGATAGTTGGTTACTTGAGCTAGAGGATGCTCAACCTACCAGCTGAAAGATCCAAGGGCCTTATCAAGCCTGTAAAAGCAAAACCTTTTTGCTTTCTGTTATTGTCCTAAGTATACTGATATGAAACTGCTAAAAGCTTGGAAACTTCTTCCTGATCTTGCCCTTCCCCCCCTTTTCTTTGACATAGGCGGCGAAATTCACCGATCCGATACCATAATAAAATCATAAAAGAGAACATGAGAATGAGAGAGAGTGTTTGTTGTATTTGATTGTAGAATGAACTTATGCAGAAAATATATAGAGAGATTACAAGAGATAAAACCATGTCAAATAAGATATCTAGATACCAAATATAACTATGAAATATAACTTCCATAATTATCTGTTACATTATTATTATATTACCTTTAAATATAATTTTTTTAACAAGTACCCGTGTAGTACACCAGTATTATACTATACTGGTGAATTAATAAAAAAGAATCGATCTTTGACGGTTTCTCAATTCTGTCCCGTTTGACTCTAACGATTTTCTTTCTTTCGTGTTTTTGTTCTCTCGCTTTATCTCTTTTTTTTTTCTATGTATGAGACTACTAGTGCGATACTCGTGTACTACACATGTACTTAAATATATCAATATTTGTACAATTAAAAAAAAAAATATTTTTTACTGTAAAATTATGTATGAATATATAAAAACAGTGAATAACTAACAAAATAGTAACTAAATGAAAATGAGGCCCGTATTTTTGTAGTTAATTTTATTATTTTATTTAAAATTTGTGAAAAAGACGCATTAAAATGATAGTTTTTGATGTACTATTGAATTATATTTTTATTATATTTATTATAAAACAATTTACATCGTATTTATATTTTTGAATTTTTTTTAATAAATTTAGTTTTATTTACAATGAAAGATGTAATTATTTATTATTTTATATATGCAATATGGATGTCAAATCAAAGATCGTCAAAATATAATTATTTTGAGATATATTATACAAACAAAAAAAAATACAAATAAAAAACATTATAAGATTTAAAATTAAAAAAGAATGCATATTTATAACAATTATTACATGAACTAAATAAGAAAAAGTAATGAAAGTGAGATTAAGTATGAGAGGCAATACATTTATGGTAATGAAAGAGAGATTTATGGGAGATAATAATGTAAGATGAAATAGATATTTATGGTTGACTCCAAGTCGTTTCCAAAATTTTTATCCAAACCCAAATACAAAGCATGATTTTTGACACTTATGATTTCAAAGTATGCAAGACTGCTAATTAAGCTCAACACGTTTTGAATTAGGGAAAAAAAAAATTTTAACCTCCCAAAATATGCCATTTTTTAGAATTTGCCATACAACTTTTTTTTTTTTGACAATTTGCCTCCCAATGTAATCGAAACTGATAATTTGTCTCATCAATTAAAAACCCTAATATGACACAAAAAAAATTTTAACTCAATTAATGATAAATTTTAAATTAACCTTTAAAATTGATTTAGGGCTTTCAAAGCCCATGACGAGACGAACAAAATGAGGTATAATTTGGCGAATTCTGAAAACTGATATCTATATAATCGATCCATGAAGATAATAGGAGCACATGTGCATAGAAAAAATTTCAATTCAAGTTTTCTGATAATCGAGATATCCGATTTTCGATTGGAAATGTCTAATTTTTTAATGCGTATATCTTATGAAAATCCAACGATTGGATTTTGATCAGTATTTATAAAACTATTTATCAATATTTAGTTTTTTTAGGTTACTACCCAAAAATCCGACCGTTAGATTTTCAAAAGATTTACTTCTTTAGGAAACTCGTCCTATAAGCTTTCAAATGACACCACCAAATCGAAAATCAGATATATTGATTAATAGAAAAATTTGAATTGAAACTTTTTCTATACACACATGCTCCTACTATTTTCGTGGATCTATTATAGAGGTATAAATTTTCATAAATAGACAAACCATACCTCATGTTATTCGTCTCGCGATGGCTTTAAAAGCCCTAAATCAATTTTAAAAATTTATCATCAATTGAGTTAAACACTCTTTGTGCCATGTTAGAGTTTATAATGAGGTAGCAAATTGTCAGTTTCAAATATACTAGGGGACAAATTGTAAAAAAAATAAAGTTTGTACGACAAACTCTAAAAAATAACTGTTATAAAATGCGGGGAAAATAAAGAACACAATGTAAAAACCGGATATAAATTGTACTAAGCTTTCTTTCCTTCTTTCACTTCATCCATCAATTGCAATACATCCATTGCCTTTTATAGCCAAATTTTTTTGCACACAATCCAATACATTATATAATATAATAATGAAAAATAATCTTTGTTAATAGTGGTAAATCCACTTGT